TTAACAGCTACCTTCTGTAGCTGTTTGTCATAAAGCAAGCCCATTTCTGCCGTTTCAATCTGGTAAAACTCAGCTGGGATATTAGAATTTTTAAAATGGAAAGATAAATCCGTTCAACAGTCATACAAGGCACACAGCATTTGAAGCATATGAACAGGTTCCACTGAGGTATTTCTAATGTTATAATGTGAGGGATTAAAGTACTAGACACTAACAAATTTATTCAAATTCAGAAACTTTTCCAGTACAAAATTAAAGCTTAACCATAAGCTGTCTTTTGATTTTTATTTAAATCATTACATAGAAGGCCACAACAGCAAGAATACTCAGAATTAGGGATACCCTGCTCCTTTTGTAATATGTCCTGGCAAATTTTCTATGTTTCTTCTGTTCCCTGCAAGAATCCTGGAAAAAGTTTTATGGTCCTCCTATTCACTGGAAGAATAAGGGAGTACTTCCCTCAAAACGAAGACCTTTTTTCCATGACAACCTGCAGAGCTGACAGCTACCTGACGGCTGCCTTTGTCTGTCAGCCTGGTCCCCAGCCTCTATGGAGAGAACAAGGGACTCGTAAAAAAGAAGACAAGGCTTCTACTGGTCAGCACTACCACAAGCTTACATCTAAAGAACCCAAAGCATCAGATGCAGCTCTGTTTGTTGCTCTCAAAAGAGAAAAAAACCAAAACTCTGGTGCATTTCTTGGACATTGATACATGTAGCTTCGTCCTCTTAAATGTCCACCAAACAATTCTGTCCAGTGAGAAACAACACATCTATTAGAAGACACAAAACCCCCTCTTACTCTTGGACAACGTCCACTCCTTTTCCTTTGGAACCACATCAACTACCATGTTTTCAAAGGAGAGAGACGACTCCTCCATGAAACATGGGCATTGGTCTCATCTGTGTGCATTGTCATTCAAGGGGAGCCATGATTAACTTCCTGCTGTGACACCCCTCTCCAAGAACCAGTGCCCTCCCTCCCTCCTTCCTATTATTGTGACAATGACACCATTATCTGGAAGAGGAGAGCAACTGACTAATTTTTAAGCCTCTCTCTGAAATAATCAATACATCATTTTAAAGGAGTAGCACTCCATGGGCCACTTCCACAGCCTGGACACACACAGAGAGACAGACATGGGAAGCTCTGCCTAGACAGACATGTCGAACAGTTGCCTCCAGGACGATAAACAACTGGTATTTAAATCATGTCATTAGCATCACCCCACCTCCTGGCTGGCACCCCAGCTCTGCAGCGGCTCACGGCGACTGTTTCGCCGGTTCAGCAGGGCCAAGCTCTTGCCTGTGATGACAGGAGCCAGCAGCAGCTGACTGTGCAGGAAGCAAGTACAAAGTCATTCCTTTAAAAGCAAGGCTACAGTTGAGTTAAGGACAACACCAAATTGTTTAAAATAGGATTCTGGATCCCAGACAGATAAACAGTCTTCAGCCTTTGATGTACTGAGAATTCCCCTCAAGATACTGACTAGAGCTGTGTGAATAATTGATTTTCTCAGCTGAATAGCTGAAGCAACCAACCAAACAAACCCCAACTTGTTTGTTAATTAACATTTTTTCCTTGAAAACTGAGGGGGGAAGAAAAGTTAAATTTAGGATTGTTGAATTGTTACATTCAAACAAAAGTAATTTCTCTTCCATTTTAAACACTTTTATTTACAGACAAAACCCCCTAAAAATACAATGCTAGATTCATGATAGGAAGCTAGGGTGTGCATCCCATAAGGTAGGGCATCTCTCAAGCAAGGTCACCTGAGGCATATGGTTCCTGCTTGGTGAAATCTAGAGAAAAAGTCACTCTGCTTTAAAATCCAAGCCTGGGAGATACGCTGAGGTCTAGGAACTTGGACGCAGGTTTTGCCACTTACAAGTACAATGCAGAAAAGTAACAGAAAAGTGCAACTCTTAATTTCTCTGTTGCACATTTTAGTCTCTGTGTAGACACAACTCTTGAGTGACATCCCATGAGATGTCAGAATGACTTATCTCAATTTCTCTTCTACTCTGCCAAAAGGTCTGTGAAATCCATAAAAAAAAAAATCTGAGTTTGTCACGGATCTTAACTGCCTAAAAATGTATTTTTAATGTTAATTTTATCTGCTTTTGGATCACTTTGTCAGAAAACAGGTGGTCATCCATGCTTACAATTATGACTAGATCTACCAGTAGACCAAGAAGTGCTGTTTCTCTTTGAAGAACCAGCAGAGAATGACAGTGCCACAGCTGGCTCAGAGAAATGGGACTGACAATAAATGTCTCACGAAATGAGCCACCTTGGTTCCATCCCCTGAATCACCCCAAGGAGGAAGGTGTGCCAATGGAACGCTCAGCCCTGCCCACTCACACTGGTGCCTGTGCCAGCCAGGCGCACTCTTGGATGCGTCACCAGCTCTAGCTTGTATTCATGGTGATTTCATGCTAAATCATGGCGCTGGGAAACAGTGACATTTCTCTGGAAGGTGCCTTTGACTCACTGGTGGTGACAGGGCCTCATCTCCCCCTCAGCCCGATGGCTGCTGCCATTTGCTCAGGCAGGTTCATTCTGAAGCGATGGAGAATGGCCCTCACCCTTCCAGCCTTGCTGATCAACAGCATCTTGAACATTTCATGCTATTATGGGTTGCAGGCTGCTCACAGAAATTGACAATTAACCTGGTGACAGCCATGGCTATTTGTTCAGGCTGGCTCCTTGCATACACCAAGGCTGCCGTGCCCCAAACCTGGCCACACAGCTGGGGAATGCAGCACCTCAGCCCTCGATGCTCCATCGGCTCCATTTTTATTTTTAAAAACTAACTGGCCAAAAGTAGATCACCTGTAAAATGAAACAGGGATAGGGGAGCGCCAGGCGTATTTTGAGCCCTATTATGCAATGGAGTGGGGATTACATAACGAGGGGAGTGCAATTACAGAAACGTGGTTCCCATGACACAGAGCCCAGCTACGGTGACAGGTCGGCAAACCCACCACAGGCAACATCTCTCTAACCCAGAAAATAAATGTATTGACTGTACTGCCTAATAACCTTTCCACTTGGATTGAACAATCTGAGAGGTTGACACGTGCCATGTTACATCAATTTAACTACTAAGTTACTGTCAGCAGTTTTTTTCTGTCTTTTCTTTTATTTTAATCCCAGTTCTCTTTTTGTCATAATTGACTTTGTAAACTTTTGGAAGAATGTTATTGAAACTCTTGCTTTTTAAATGAGTTTATTAATGACGCACACTTAAACATCTTCTGGTAATCAGAAATTGCTACCACTTTCTGGAAATCTCTTAAGTGGTTTAGGGTAGAATATTGTCATATTATATAGCTGAGAATGTATTATTGATGAAACAATTCAGTGCTTCTCTTCACTGAACCATTTTATGATCCCAGTAAATATTCATGTAACCCCTTTAACATGCAACACCGCAGCAAGAGGCTGAATTGCTACAAAATGAGAGAATTTGGCATTGTCCTTCTAAATTCTTGTAACAAATAACAAGAACTATGACCTCTCTAAAAAGAGACAGGTTAACAAACAGTGAGATGCACTAAGAGCAGCTACAGAACTTCACTGTACCTCAGGCTCCGTGTTAATTAAAACTCTTTTTATTTTCCTTCCTTGGAGGATGTTTTTTTATATCCCAAGGTGACCTAGGAAACTTGACCTCTTGAAATGAAGTGCAGAGAAAAATACTATCTGATTAAAAAAAGAAGTAGGCCCAAACCAAATAGGTTAAAGGGAGGACAAGCCACTTACAAAAGAGCCTGTTGAAAAATCAAAATTAATTTCAGTCTTAAGAAGAAACAAGCCTTTACTTCTGCTCAGGCAAGCAGTTCCATAGAAGCAACAGGAGTAACCTCATTTTTAAGCAAATAAAAAGTATGTTATTATTTACGCTTTTCCCATCTCCTCGCCAAGAGAGAAATTTAAGAAGTTACTTAGTATCATTTACTGACAGACACGGAGCTGTGCATGTCCCCCGAGTTCAAGGGCATTCACGAACAGGAAAACCACCCTGTCACAGCCATGTGTGCACTGCCCACTATAATATAAAGTGTAATAAAAGGCATAAAGAGCTACTGCCTACCAGCAATATTTGCCCATTTATTAAAAATAGCTTATGAAATATTCCTCTTCTACGGATATTCTGCAGGAGAAAAAGAAAAAAAAAGAAAAAGAAAACAAAACCAAAAACCCAGCATAAAATGCAGCGATTCAGGTCAGACGAGATCCTCTGCCGGGAGAACCGATCACCTCCTTTGAAGAGGCGAGCTGGCAGGAACCGTCTGGCTGCTGCAGCTGCAGTACCTAGCCCAAATTACTTGTTCCTTTCGGGCCGGAGGATTTGAAACCGGTACAAGTTTGCCAGCCGCCCGGGCAGCGACTGCCGGCGTGACCCCGCGACACATCTCAGCGCAGTGTGCCGAGCCCCAGAGCCGGGGTCGCCCCTTGTCCCCAGGGGATGCTGTGCGGGACGGCACAGACAAAGACCTGGGGGCAGCAGCTCCAGCGTCGCGCCCTCCGCCAGCGGCAGCACTGCACGCAAAAGACCAGAGAGTACGGCCGACTGCTCGGTGAAGGGCAAGAGGCCCCAATCCCAAACCCCACTGGAGCCCGGAGAGCCCCCTTTTGCTGTGGTGCGAAGGAGATGCCCGTCAGGGGTAGCGAGCACGGTATCTTGGTGTGCCACAGGCGGCAGAGCCAAGCACGGGGACAAAAGCCGGGAGGGAGGACACGATGGATGCACATGTTCCTCGTCCCTCCAAGCTGCCCCGCACCTCTGCCGCATCTGCCCGAGAAGAGACCCCGGAGCCAAACACGTGTGTCCCTGCCTTCGCCCCACCGGTGACTCCAGGTCGCCGGGGAGACCGGGCCTGGTGGCGGACAGCGGCGGGCTGGCCGCCTTTGAGGTTCCCACCCGAACACCGCTCAGACGCACACCCCGGGCCATGGATGCCTGTGCTCCGCCCCGAGCACGGAGCCCTACCTGCCCCTTGACCAGGCTGGCGGCGAACTGCCTCATGACTGCCTCCACGGTGTAGGCGCTGGACCAGCCGCGGGGGGTGAGCAGCTCCATGCAGATGGCCCCGCCGTCCAGGACGTAGCCGTTCTCCAGGCGGGGGCTAAGCACCCTCATGAAGGGCGGCGAGAAGGGGAAGTTGTCGGGGAAGGTGAGGTTGAGCAGGATGTACTCCGTGTTGGTCTCCTTCATGTCCTGCCACAGCACCGAGTCCTTGTCCACTTGGTGCAGCTTCACGTTCCAGTCGAAGAGGCTCTCGTCCACCAGCTCCACCGAGATGAAGCGGTCGCTGAGCCGCGCGATGTCCTGCAGCTCCTTCATCAGCCGCCGGGTCCGCACCTGCGTGCAGTGCTGCTGCCGGCCCGCGGGTACCAGCGCCGCCGGCCCCGACCCGCACCCGGGACCGGAGCCGGGGCCGGGCCGCGGCGCTGCCTCCTTGCCGGCGCCGGGCTCCCTGCCCACCTCCCGCGGCTTCTCCCGGCCGACTCCCGAGCGCGCCTGCTGCGGGGGCTGCTTGGCCGGCTCCGGCGCCTTCTTGTTCTTGTGGCCCCCGGGGCTGCCCTCGCTGCTGCTGCTGCTGCAGCCGCCCCCGGGGGGGCCCTGCGGCTGCGGCTTGTTGCTGCTGTTCTTCTGGTTGCCCCTGCCGCGGAGTGAGGAGCCCTGCTGGCTGCTGCTGCGGTGGTGGTGGTGGTGCTTGGGGTCCTCCGTGTCCCGGCTGTGCAGCCGGATCAGCCCGATTTTCCGCAGCAGAGTGGCCATGTTGTGCGCGGCTCTGCGATCCCTCCCGCCTCTGAGCACCGGTGGGGCTCTAGCGCGGTTATTATCAATTTAGAGCTCGGCTCGGCGGCTTTGCTGTTAGCGGGCGAGCGGCGAAGCGCCTCTCCGCCGGTCCGGGGCGCGGAGAGGCGGCGGCGGCGGTGCCGCCGCGGTGCCGGAGGATGTGCGGCCGCCGCTCAAACGCCTCCCCTGCCTAGAGCTGCGGCGGGGAGCATTGCCGCAGCGGGGCTGCTCCCGCGGACATCACGGCCCCGCCGCCGTGGCCATGATCCCGTGAAAAGGAAGGAGGAGGAGGATGAGGGGGGGAAAAAAAGGTAGGAAGAGAAAAAAAAAATCCCCCAGCCGCCCGCACGGGAGAGCCCCCTCCCTCCCCCCGCACAGCGGCGGCGAAACCGCCTGCGCTGCAGATGGCTTCCCCGGCACCTTCGGATCGCGCTCGGCCGAGCCAATCCCCGGCGGCTCCCGGCGGGCCGGGCCCCGCTCCGCTCCGGGCACCTCCCCCCGAGGCGGGCGGGGGGTGAGATCCCGCCCGCGCAGCCCCCGCTGTGCCCGCGGCGCGCTCGGCCCTTTGTTCGGGAGAGCGGCCGCCCGCCCGGGCAGCGCCGCCGCAGCCCCGCCGCGCCCCCCGCGCCGCCTGCGCGCCTGGCGGCACCGCCGCTGCGGGGCTCGGCGGGGCGGCGGCCGGCGGGCAGCGCGGGGACCGTCCCGTTCCGCTCCGCCCTGCGGCAGCGGCCCCGCCGGCCGGGCGGGCCGGGGGCGGTGACGGTGGGGAGGGGCGCCGGGACAGACCCGCGGGTGCGTGGGCAGGTGTTGCACACGTAGGTGTGTGTGTGTGTTTTGTGTGTTTGTGTCTGTGCCCACACGGCCGGGAAACGACACCGCGGCAGCTCCGCGCACGTGTGTGCACACGGACAGAGCCCGCACCTAACGCGGGGACAGAACAGCTCTGTGGTCATCTGTGAGGACACGATGGCGTTGAAGTGCATGTGCGTATATGTATTTACACCTACCTGCCTAAACACGTATATCACATACATAATGCCTGTAAAAATCAATATATAAACATGGTTAAAAAGTAGTTATAGGTGCATAACTTGTGTATATGTGTGTGTGTGTGCATACATGTTGGTATTGATGGGGCAATCTTGCTTTCTTCGGTACAGCAGATAGACATATTCCATCCCTCTCACACCTGCTCCCCTCCAAACCAAGCAGGTTCGTCCTCCTGGGACTCTGTAGCACAGGAAGGAGCTGCCGATTCCCAAAGTCTCTGTCCCCATCATCTTCTTTACCTTCAGAGACTGGAAAAGAAAAAAAAACTACAAGAAATGTTTTGAATTGGGGAATAGTGAAGGCAGGGCCCAAAATGTTATTACATCTGTTGTGCAGATGATGTAAAGTAATGAGCAATGTGTGTACATAGCAGCATTATATTCCATAACACATTTCCCAATGGAAGATCTGGAGGTGGATCTCCTCTTGCTCCCTGAAGACTCTGTAGAGCAATGTCAGGAGATACTGGCAGAATTGTCCTGTGTGTGATAGCCAGTGCTTCTCCATCAGCCTGCTTTGAACAGGGAGAAGATGAAGGGCTGTGAGCAAACTGTGAGTGATGGCCTGAGAGGCCCAGGTGCCACAACAGTCTCCTTGTTTGCTCCTGCCTTCTGTCCTGTTGACCTTGCCAATCCAACAGTGTGATAACCCTTGGAGTTGCTCTGATCCTTTCCTGTGTGCCGATACCCAGCTGTGTCTGTTGCAGGAGAGGTGGTTGCTAAATCCCCTACCCCTGAGAAGATCTGCATTGTGAAGTACTGTTGACAAAGTGTTTCCCTGGAGGTCAGACATCCAGGCGAATGTGAAGTGGGTGGAGGCTTAAGTGTCAAAGATTGTTCTGTTCATCCCATATTCATCTCCTACCTCCTACATTTGCCTGAGCAGTTGAAGAACCTCCGGTTTATAGGTTATTGGAAGCTGTTTCCAAACCTTTCCTTAGTAGTCTTCTGGTGCGGCAGTAATGCTACTCCCCTGAACTATCCATGGAGCTGGGAAATTTCTGAAATGCAAACAAACTGCACCCAGACATCTCGTGGTGTATGATGCTTCCAGGAAAGAAGTAATCTGTGCTTCATCTGGAAAATGACTGCAGCAGGACGTGCAGGGGGAGAAGCTACAGAAGACATGGAAAACTCTCATCAGCATATGGAGCAGGGCACTGAGAAACCTGATAGGACAGGTCAGAAGACTGTTCCTGCTCTGGTGCAAAAGCTGGCAGTCACAGAATCTTCACCTGCAGCTTCAATCCCCACGGGCAGTCCCCAGTGTCACCTCAGGATGAATACCTAGGGTAAGGCAGGGTGGTGTGGCAGATGCAGAACTGAACCACTCTGCCAACCAGCAATGCGAGCCTTTGTGTCGGCCACATTAATGTTTTAAACTGAAAGGTCTCTGCATGGTGCTGCTGTGGCAGGTGGCAGCAGGAGCCGTGATCATTAATTTAACATTATGGAAGTTATTTACCTGTCTCACATAACTGAGGTAGCTGCCCAGTGGTGAAGCCAAAGGAAAAGAGCAAGGTCTCTGCAAAGGAAGGCCAGAGCCAAGCATCCCCTCTGGCCTTCCACCACTGCTCTCTGAAATGGTACAAGATTAATGAAGGCAGTGATGAGAAAGTTGTTTCAGAGATGAGGAAGGTGTAATAGGTGTCCCTGGCCAAACAGGGTTCTCCTGCCACAGGTTGCTGCTCTGGTGGTGCTGAAAGTAGTGAAATTTGTTATAGTCTGTGCCCATACCGTCTGCAGGATCAAAATGCTGAAGTGATGGAGCAAACTCTTTTTCATGCCCAGGCTTCCTCAGCAAGCAAGTTACTTGGTTAGTCCAGTATGGACTCTGGATGGCTTGAAGTCGAGTCTTGAGGGAAAACAGGTAGTAAAACATCTTGCAGGGGGGACTTTCCCTGTATCTAGACTGTCCTTATCACATATTCCCTGACTGACCAAAAAATATCAAATTTGGTCCATGGTCTCTCTTTATACATTCCTAACAAATTTCTGTTCCTTCATATCTTAAATAGTAGAAACATATCTATTAAATTTGTTCATTATTACACTTTCTCACCAGTCTGCCAAGTGCAAACTGAACTCACCTGCCATCTCCCAGACAAGGCTCTCCTGTCCTTGGAGCAGGACTGGTTGATCCACTTACATTCTAGACTGATGCCATGACTTTCAAATCAGGGAGGCATCTGGGTATGAAAATCAGACTGACCTCTGGCAGATATTTCTCCTATGTATTCAGCTGGAGAGCTGCTTTCAGGCTCAGCTATTTAGTAGTGACACAGGACAGCATTCAAAGCTCAGGTCTGGCAGAAGCCCTCAGCTCCATGTGGAGCAGGGTGCAGCTGATGAAGGGCATCTCAGACTATTGTGGAAGGGAAGCATCTGCCACTAGCCGGAGACTGAACTCCCATTGCTGTACCAATTTGATATTGGGGCTGGCAGGAAGGTGGTGGGGGTTTTTTTTGTGTGTGTGTTTTTGTGGGGGTTTTTTTGTTTGTTTGGTTGGTTTTTTTGTGTGTTTTGGTTTTCTGTTTGTTGGTTTGGTTTGGTTTGGTTTATGGTGGGTTTCTTTGTTTTTTTTTTTTTTTTCTGGTAGGATAATACTGGCCAGTGGTCATCTTATTTTAACTGAGTTTGCAAAGAAAGGAATTACCTGTAGTTCAGCAAAAAGTTAATATGTGCATTGTTTACTTCCATTTAAATGCAGCAGAATTTTAATGCCAAGTGATAGAAAAATGTTACTTAAATTGAACAAGTGCACAGAAGCATTTCTAGGATGTTTAGGGGAACAAAATTTACATCTTTATAGGAGAATTATAATTTTTTTTTCTTGTTTAGTATAGTTCAGCAAAGACTGAAGAAGGCCGTGATAACACTTTATAAATATATTTGAGAAGTAAATGTCAGAGAGGAATATTGACTTCATCACATGATCAAATGGCAGTACAGTGAGTAATCCTGAATACATCTGCACTGGAAATCTAAAGGCTTCCAGATATGTGATGAAGCAAGCATTTGAATACTCTCCTGAGCACTGGAAGGAGTGTCGTGCACTCTGGCAGCAAGGAGCCTGAGAAGTTTATAGGCATAATTGTACAACACAATAGAATAGGAAAATGCCTGAAGAGAGAAAATTAAGCTTATATTATGAGTCCCTGGGCATCTGGTGTGTCAGTATCCCCAAGTGTGTGAGAAAATAGATTAGATCACTGTCAATTTGCATTATAATAATTCCATGCCTCAGGGCTTCCACTGTAGTTGGGAAAGATTTTATTTTATTCTTCCTGATACATGATTTGTCCTCTACTGCTCTTTTTTTGCTTTCCTCTGCAGGTCTGAAGATAAATTGTTACAGTTGGCATTAGAAGCTTAGGGTTCATGTGTCCTGCTGATATATTCAGGATTAGGCCAGCCTCTAGGCCTGGAATTGTTTTGAAGGAGATATTTACCTAGGTCGGCTTGGTAGACTCCATTGATTTCATTTATGGCATGGGACCCAGCCTCCTTCCTAGAATCAAATGAAGTTATATTTAGCTAATTCTTTGTAAACTTGCAAACACACACTTTTTCACTGGACAAGCTATTTATTAATCTCTCCCTCTTTTGCCTGAGTTATCCTGTTGGTTACTAGTATCTCACTGGGCACCTTTGACTGTTCATTTTCTGTTTGCCTCCTTTCATCCTCGAAAGTGACAACATCATTTATTTTTAGAAGGATATTCAGAAGAAAGGCATTTTCGGCAACAAACAGCAAGAATGAAGAAGGACACAAACTGGAATATTAAAACTTATAGAGGTATATGTGTGATTCCTACGTTCCTGTTGACACATCCTTTGAAATTACCTTCTTGGTGTTGGAAGTCCATCTGGCAATGCTAATCTCTTTTACTGACTTAGCTAAACAACATTCTTGAGGTGACTTCCACTCAACAAACATGATAAGCCCAGTAAATGCAAAGGATACCTGGGTAAATGAATAGCCATTGTATCACAGTGATAGCTTTTGAGAATGAGTGAGGCAAACAATATCCATGGAGAATATG